AATAGGGAAAGGTGGAGGGGGTGAAGGGGGGCTAGGAATGGGGAAAAAATAAGAACCAAGATGCATTATGTAAAGGTACCATTCCCAATGAGAAATGTAATTGTGTTGTATACCTACAATGTACCAGTAAAAGAATTTAATTAAAAAAATTATATTTGGTCTTAATATGATAATAAATAAAATGCTTATAGCATAGTGTTAGTGAAAAAAGATATTTTATACAATATTACTGTATGCATATAACAATTCAAATTATAAATTCATTAAAATAAAAATGGTTATTTCTGGGTAGAATTATAGATAATTCTTGTTTTACTTTTGGTACATTTTTACATATTTGAATCCTGTGATTAGAGTGAATATATTACTTTCATAATTAAGCTAAACACTAATTTTTAAAACTTAAATATAAATTTTTTCTAAGTATATAAAAAGTTACCTTTTCACATTCTAAGGTAATTACCTCCCATCTTTTATTTGCCAGCTGTCTAATATATTTGTTGTATGCCATGCTATTGAAGTCAATTTAACACAGCTTTTTATAATCTCAAATAAAGTTTCATTGTCATTTTTATATGACAGACATTTGATAAAATTATTTTAAGTTAAATGTAAAACTGACATTTCTACCTTGGCATACAGCTACAATCAGAAATTTCAAAATTTAGTGTTTACTATAATGACACATGTGATAAGTCAACTCTCCAGTGGCAAGAAAGCTGTAATGTGTAGTTATTCCATATGGTTCCCAGTCTTAGACGTGAACACGAACTTGCTATGATACTTGATCCTTCTGAGCTTGGTTTTATTTAGGTAAAATGGGGGGTAATTCCCATTCCAAAGTGTGATGTGAGAATCAAATAAAATATAATTTGAAATATTTTTACATTGTCATTGGAAGGAGATATGAACTTAAATAAGATTTTAAGATTATAAATCAGTCTTTTATAAAATATTAACTATGGAGATAAAAATTTAAGTTGCAACTTAATCATCTTCTCAAGTTATATATTACCTGATATAGTTATGATTATATTTCTGGTGTTAAATTTCCACTGTATGGTGTGACAGAAGGAAAGCTGCTCACTTCATGGAAGCCAGGAAGCAGAGAGAGAAAGAGGTAGAGAGAAAGGAGCTAGGTACAAAATATACCTTTCCAAGTGATGCCCCCAGTGACTCACTTCATTTAATTAGGCTGCATCTCCCAATAAGCCCAACGAGTTTATAAAGCCCTCATGATCAAGACAGCCCTTTGGGCCACAATTCTGAACACTACTATACTGGGGATCAATCTCAGTACAAAAATCTCTGGAGGGCACTTCATATTTAAACTATAACAGTACAACAAATAATACAAACAATAATTGTCAGGTAAAGTTATGTGCAAATCCAAAATACAGTCTATTTCTGAAAGAAAAAAAAATCAAACATTTTTCCTTTCTATTATCACACTCAATACAGAACAATTCTGTGCCCAGTGGGGATTTTCTCCTTCACCAACCTATTCTCAGTGGACACTAATGAGCTGTCCTATAATTTAACTCAATTCTGACACTATCTAGAGATAGATACCTATCTACATAGTGTCAGAATCCACAGCTTTAGAGCTCAGTCTCACAAGATTGCCCCCCCCATTCAGACATCTCTCACAGGTTATGACCTACAATACGCTTCTGACATACCAACAATAAATCAGGTTCCCACAACCCCCAACTTGAGTTCCATAATTTGCTTGAATGGCTCAATCACATATACTTTATGTTATACACATTATTACTGTTCAGTGAGAAGTGAAACTCTAAGATAGCCTCATAAAAAATCACACTGGGGAGTGTTCTATATGGATAGGAATTGGGGAAGGTGGCTAGTATAGGTCTTTTAAAGCCAAAAACCACAAGTGCATTTCAGCTCAGATGAGACTTAATAGGTTATGTACAGATTGGGGTCACAGTCTTTGCACAATTGTATATGTATTTGTCTGTTTTGCTGCTAATTTTAGTCATTCTGGGAAATGATTGCTTCGTTTCCTGACCTAGAAATTGCAACGGATCTTCCATACATGCTTCCAAATGTATGGATACCTTTTCTTTTTTATGATCACAGTATCTGTCAGTTCAAAGGTCTTTGTTGTTCTGAATGAAACACACATATGTATATTTTTGGAGTCCACAAGTTTCACCTGGTCATTTCAAAAATTGGCTATCTTTAGATATCAAGTTCAAATGTCTTTAAAATTTATGCTGAAAGTATATGTAACAATCTCAACATCACATGCAATGAAAAATCTAGCCAAGGTCAAGACCTGAAATGGAGACTTTTTAAACTAGATAGTGAAGCAGGCAACATGTGTAACTTATGGACAAAGGCTTCCTCTGTAAAAGCTACTTTTTGGAGCTCATGATACAGTGACATAAAAAGGCGGCTCAAGTGATGGATAAGATAGTGAAACAGTTCTTCTCGTGCCTGAAGCCTAAGGTTTCTCCCAACCAAAATCTGGTCATCCAAGCTACAGGAAGCTAGATGTGACTATATTCCCAAGCATGCACATATGTTGTTCTTGAAGTTTGGGATTATATACAGAAACCAATATATGAACATAATTGATATTTTATATGTTTATAATTTTAAAATTAAATTTATTAGAGCATTTAACTCTAAAATACACAACTGAATAAATAAATTCAAAGGTAAAATCTTATGAAGTTTATAAGCGATTTTGAAACATCTAAGAGAACTTACACTCTACATATTTAAATCTTCATTTATAACTGTAATCAGCTTGTAAGAGTTATTTCAGTGTCCAAGAAAGTTTTGATTTCTAACTCCAATAATTAAGAGGTTATGGAGAGATCCCATCATGGCAGTCTAGAGGAAACAGCACTCTAGGCAAGTCTAAGGCATTCACCCAGCTCAGTGGTTTTTATGGCTACGTGGGGAGGTTATGCACCTTACCCCACCCCCACACCCTGTAACTATAACCTGAACAAGATAGCAAACAGGTGAGAGATAGAATAGGGGAAGTTAGTGCAGTGGACCCTTGAATTACGAACTCGATCTGTTCCTAAGGCCTGGTTGTTACTCAAGTTGGTTGTAAGTCAATACAGCTGAGATCTGGATATTTACCTGGGTACATACTGTACACAACAAAAGACAAATGAATCTTCCATTAACCTAATTAACCCAAGTTGTTTGTATGTCAGGCTGATCGTAACTTGAGGGTCCACTGTATAAGAACAGAAGCTGCTTCCTTACCTTGGTGCTGTTCATGGTGCAGGTCTGAGATTTCACCATTTTGTAAGATGCCCAAAGTTCTCCAGTGGTAAAAACACCTGGAGGGAAAGCCAGCTTAGTGTTTTCCCTAGCCACTACCATCTGCAATGCAGGCCAATCCCAAAGGCATCCCCATCAGGATGCAAGGACTCAGAGACTGAGATATTTGTGCAAGGGTGGATACACTTGACAATGGACACTGTGGGATTGTGAGCTAGAGAGAGCTAAGAAGGTCTGGAGCTACAAGTCGTGATCAATGACCCAGATACCCCAAGTTTGGGCATTATTCTCCTTGGCACATGGCACAGAGATGACTGTGACTCAGAGACACTGGGATATCAAGGCAGGAACGGGGTGAACACTAGGGTTAGTGAGACAGTCAAATGGTCCCGACAAAGGCTTTTGTTTGCTTTTCCTCCCACCTTTCTCAGCACCAGACATAATAGGAACCATAAGCTTGAGATGAATCTGGAGAACCAAGGGATCTGGCTTGCACAAACATCTAAGGGTGGAGAATAAAACACTGGATAGAGGGCTGTCCCATTCATGACCTAGAACATGGCTGACCTTGCAGGCTGGAGAGAGATTGGACAAACTGCTCCAGAACTGGAAGAACTACAGTTGGGAGCTGAATGTGCCATTGACTACAGAGAAGCAAGGAGCTTGTCAAGGAGGTTGCGGCAGGCATACAACCTAGGACCCCCAACAGAGATTATCTGGAGAGAGAACAGAACCTGCTGCAGGGGCTGTGACAGTGGCACAGACTGGGACCCCAAAGCTGAGACACCAAAGAACATGGCTTCAACCCCATTCCACAGTCACTGAGAACACTAGGTGGTCCTAAATATGATGTTCCAAAGACAATAGCACTGACAATCTGCTCAAGGATTTGCATCATAATCAGAACCTTGTGCTTGAAGGCAAGCATGGCACCACTGAGCTAAATCCCTGGCCCTTTCATTTTTTGTGTGTGTGGCTTCTTAAAGGTATCATATTAATCAGATTTCCCCTGCTAGAACATAATATCCAATAGTTACAATTTAAAGGATAAGAAGTTTCATTTAGCTTATGGTTCAGAGCATTGTAGATAGCTAAGATAGTCAGATATATTAGAGGCATTTAGGCAGGGCCAGGCCTTCAAGGGAGTCAGCTCAGAAGACAGGTGTGGCTAGAGGCACATTCACTAAAGGCCAGGCTTCAAAACAAAAACAACAAAGAGGAGGGGCTACACTTACATACTTCCCCTAAGGATGAACAGCAGTGATTGATATTATAAATGGTATCAATCACTTTGGGTAGGGACCAAAATCTCCATAGCCCATTCCTTCTGGGAAAATCCTTGTTCATTTCATGGATGGCTATGTGACTTGCTTCCCCATTTGATCCCCTTTTAATCAATGTTACCTAAGCCACTATACTTGTAATCTTATTGGTTGACCACAGTTTTTCCCCTCCTTGTGATTTACCATTGGATCAATATTACCTAAATAACTATACTTTTAATCTTATTAGTTGACTATAGTTTTGTCCCACCTTGAACATGCCTCATCTTGTGGCTTTGCCCAATAAAACACCCTTGAGAAGCAGGTTGTGTGGGCAACCTACTTTCTGAGACCCCCTTCTGTCTCACATAAAAACTTTCTTTCTCTAAATAAATTCTTGCTACTTTTAACCTCCATTATTGCTAAAATTCATTCTTCAATTTTATAAAACACAAACTCAGTGTGTTTGGTTGAGAGTTATACTATTTCCCTTACATTATTTATTGGTCCATAGGTCATACACCCTATATCAAGAGGATTCAATTGATGGTTGGCTGGCTCCAAGGGCGGAATCTCAGTGTGAAAGTGTATGTCAGAGCAAAGATGTGTAGTTCCTGGCAGCCAGGAAGCAGAGCATGGGAACAATGCCAGAGTGGAAGGGGCATAGGATTGAAATTTTGTATCCAATAAACTGGAGAATCTAAAAACAAATGAATAAATTCCTAGACACATATGACTTACCAAAATTGAACCAAGAAGATACTAAAAATAAAAGAGACCAATAATGTATTAGTGCTTTCAAGAGCTTGCAGGGCTGAGGCAAGGCTCCTCAAAAGACCCCACATGCTCTGAATCAGAAGGACCCAGAAATTTTCAAGATTGGCCTACAATGGCCACCACAAAGTCAAACGTAGAAGACTGCAAAAGATCTATTCAAGAGCTGGAGATCCAAAAGATCCAGCTGAAGGCCCAGAGCCCACAGCAATGTCCCATATGAGTCTGCATCAGCAGGTCAAAGGATCTTCAACAGAACATCAAGGGGTCTTCACTGAGAGGGTCAGCGCTAGAAGCTAAAGAGTTTGTGTTGGCAGGCTGAAAGGCCAGTGCTAGAAGCTGAAGAATCAATGCTGAAAGCCAGGAAACAATGCCCAAGGCGAAGGCAAAGACCAGAGCTCTGCTGAAGAAAACAGCAGCCATCCTTGGCCGTAGTGAAGACTGGAGCTCCTCCAAAGAGAATAGCAAAGTTCCTCCGAGGAAAATCAGCTGAAATCCTTCCCTCCTGTTCTCCTTTTTCCCCTCTAACAACAATCTTCCCTAAAGTGGGTCTTCCACACCCAGAACCATGCTGACTCAATTCAGCTGGGTGGTTCCCCACTCAAGTTGACAACTAATCAATTAACCACCACAAATAACAACCAACAAAATTGATGCAGTAATCAAAACTCTCCCAACAATTAAAAGTCCAAGACCTGATGGATTCACTGCTGAATGTTACCAGAACTTTAGAGAAGACCTAATGTGAACATTCCTCAAACTTTTCCATACAACTGAAAGGGAAGGATCATTTCCAAACTCATTCCATGAAGCCTGCATTACCCAGATACCAAAATGAGATAAAGACTCAACAAAAAACCAGAACTCCAATATTCTTCATAGACACAGACACAAAAATCTTCCATAAGATACTTGCAGCTATGGTGGTACATACTTGTAATCCCAGAACTCAGGAGGCCAAGAAAGGAGGATCACCATTTGTTCAAGTGTATCCTGGGGTACATAGTGAGTTCAAGGCCTGGACTTCACAGCAAGACCTTGTCTCAAAAATAAACAACCCCAAAAGACAAAAAAAAAAAACCCTTGCAAACAGAATTTAACAAATCATTACAACATCATACATGACAATCAAGTCTGCTTTATCCCAGGGATTCAAAGATGATTCAATGTACATAAATCAATAAATATAATATAGCACATAAGTAGAACAAGCCCCCCCCAAATCACATGATCATCTTAATAGATGTAGAGAAAGCCTTTCACAAAATCCAACAACCCTTCGTGATTTAAAAAAAACTGAAAAGACATAAAGACCTTATCTCAAAATAATAAAATCCATATATGATAAAATCACAGTTAATAACATACAATGGGAAAAAACTGAAAACAGTCCCTCTACAATCAGGAAGGAGATATGAATATCCACTTTCATGACTCCTCACTATAGTAATTGAAAATTTAGCCAGAGCAATCAGGCAAGATAAAAAAATGAAAGGGATATGAATAGGAAAGGAATAATTTAAATTGTCCCTATTTGTAGATAATGTGATTGTAAATACAGAAAACCTAAGAAACTCTACCATATAACTCTTCAAACTGATAAATTCAGCAAAGAGGCAGGATACAAAACCAATACATAAAAATCCATACTGTTCCTATACACTCATAATGAAACCACTGAGAAAGAAATCAAGAAAGTAATCCCATCACATTAGCTTCCAAAAATATAAAAAACCTAGACATCTGTGATGAAAACTATAAAACTCAGAAGAAATAGATCAAAGACGAGGCAAGAAAATGGAAATACACCACCTATTCCTGGCAGAATTAATACCATTAAGATGGTTATATTACCAAAAGTGATCTATAGATTTAATGCAGTCCCTATTAAAATGCCAATAATATCTACCACTGTGCTAGAAAACACTCCTAAAATTTATATAGAACCTGAAAAGCCCAGAATAGCCAAAGCAATCCTGAGCAAAAAGAGCAAAAAGATTACAAATTATACCACAAAGCTATAGTGACAAGAACAACATGGCGCTGGTACAAAAATAGAAAAGACAGAAGAAACAGCCTTGTGAATCTTCAGCCATCTGAATTTTGACAAAGTGGCCAAAAACGTACATTGGAGAAAAGATAGCCTCTTTGAAGAATGATGCCAGAAAAACTGGTAATCCTTATGCAGAAAATTTAAACTAAATCCGTATTTCCCATCTTGTACTAAAATCATAGTAGAGTGGATCAAAAACTTAGATATAAAAACAGAGAGATCCATCATGGCTGATTAAGTGGCAGCACAGAAGGGAGACTCTAATAGGTACACCAAACAAATGCAGATACGCTAAAAGCAGGGAAGTATTGAAAGTCAGTTATGAGAAAGCAAATGAAAGGCAAAACACACTAGTCCTAAACCAGTATCAAAGGCTTTAGAAAGGGAAGCTGTCCCACTCCCAGGCCATGGCACACATTAAATCCCAGGTCCACCTTTGGAGAGGAACAGGTGCCCGAGGGAAGAAGCAGGTAATTCAGCCATGGCCAGGCTGTGGAATAAGCTCCTAACCTTTCAACCCTACCCACTAGGAAGAGTAACAAAAGGAATGAAATTTCTGAGGATGAAACTCATGCCCCTCCTTGGCAATTACAGTATCCTTGGCTAAAAAGAGGTACCACAAACTAGTGCATCAGAGAAATGAAACCTGGTGAGTGATGGGTGACAAAATACCAGCAGGTTTTTGGGGAAGCTGAAACAAGTACATGATCCAGATTAAGGACCATTTTGCTGCTGCATTTTGTTGTTGGTATTGTTGTTTTTTCTTTTTTTCTCTCTCTTTCTCTTATCCTTTCATCTTCCTTCTCTCTTCCCCGTTTTCCTCCTTTCATCTAGCATGTATGCATGCATGCAGATAGATTATTTATGTGCAAAGGAGAATTAGCATTACCAGTGCTTTCATCTAAACAGTACCTTTCATGGGTAAGTAAGGTAATCCTCACTAAAACTGTGTATGAAGAATCCAAATATA